TCGTTGGCCAGGTCTTTGTTTGCTTCAATAGTGGGTGGGGGGCGTCTGTAGCTGGTGATTTCCTGCAGGCCCCTCCACACTGACGCAGGGTCGTTGGCTGAGAGCCATTAAAGTGGAGTATTAGAGACCAAGCAGCCAAGAACATACAGGAACAGATGTATTCTTCAAAATATGAGTTTTATTATAGCCCTATTTCAAAAATATACAGTCACAGAATAAGCTATTTTAAGAACTAATTGAGCCTATAACAGAGGTCAACTAAACAGAATTCTGCTCAAAAAAATAACACTTAACTAAATATCATAACTCAACAAACTGACCTGCCCAAATGAGAGACAGCAGAGGGGAAAACCACAGGGACAATAACTAAACATAATACAGAAAAACTAACAGCAGCCAGGTAACTCAAAAAGAACAGAAAATTAATTATTAACCCCTCAGCAATAATTGCTGCAATAGCAAAAGACAAATATTATAAGCAATAATAATAATAAGTTTCCCATAAGTCCCATAAGATAATAAAACAACATGCTTTTTTTCAGTGTTAAATATTGCCGCAATTAGCAGTACTTTGCATGTTGCAAACATTAGTTAGTAGTTGGCACCATGTTTCACACCGTGAGAAAGGAACTCACAGAAATGCATATGCAAGAGGGTGAGTCACAAAAATATCAGGTCCCACTTCTTACACAAAATGTTGTCTTAGTAAATACTTTTTTTTTTTAAATTTAAATACTTACTTTTAATTTTTACACCGAAACACACTTTGCACTGGTGCAAAGGTTAGTAACTCTGGCCCTTGGGCTGTGGACAGGGCTGGACTGGGACTGGAAGCCCACCATGATAACTCAAAAATAAATTAAATAAATATGTCATGTATACACATATTATGTTGATTATAGATATTAATTGTTATTGGTACAGTTGTACTTTTGTTAGGACATCTTAGTTGCACTGCAGTGCAACATTTTACAATTAAAAACCACACTTTAGCTATTAGGAGTGGTTTATGGTCAAAGTAGCCATTCATTTTACCTATATCCTTGAATCTTTCCTTTCCTAATTATGTTAATTTCACCTTACTCCATCTCTTCCTCACTTAGTCGTTGAGACTGCTGTCCCACCTCCTACTCTTCTCCACAGCTGGTGCTACCAACAGCAGCCTCCTGTGAACCAGGGCTCGTTACTAGTTGTTGCTGGTACTGCTGTTGACGGTGCAGCAGCAGGCCCGACAGCTAACGTGTTGGTTAACTGGACATATTTTACTGCATCTACTTTTAATTTATTTTTCTATTTAGCTTTACAGCTCCACCTTTTCACTACTTTTTCCACACTAAACTCTTCTTCAAGGTGCGTGCACAGCGAAGGTATGATGAAGTGTAAGTAATGAAAGTTGTATGAATGTATGAGCTGTTGTACAGCTAGTGTGCAGCAGCCCTTCAATTGACCCACCGGCCCAAAAGTGCATTGGCCACCAGGAACATACCCAGTAGACCAGTCCATTCCTGACTGTGGAGAGAGAGAGAGAGAGAGAGAGAGAGAGAGAGAGAGAGAGAGAGAGAGATAGATAGATAGATAGATAGATAGATAGATAGATAGATAGATAGATAGATAGATAGATAGAGTTCTAAATGGCTGTCATGTTTTTTTTATTATTTTACCACATTCTTTGCATGGATGGACATGGAGACTATTTTCTTTCTTTTGACTTCTGCCATATTTTGCTTTTTCAATTATTATTGGTCTTATAGCTCAAACTACTATTGTCACTTTGTAACTTAAAGTAACAATAATAACAGTTATACTAATTTTTCTTAGAAAAATCACTGCAGCAATAACCATGACTTTATTTTTGTTATGAAGGTGGCAGCCAACACCTTGTCATCACCCCAGCACACAGGAAACTACACACACACTCTGCCTTCTCCTCAACATCCCCCCAACTACAACCTGCTGTCCCCCAGCCACCAGCCAAACTACGCCACCTATAAAGAAGGCTACAACGTTTACGGCATTGAGAGCGTCAAGATCTAACACGGGTAGGAGAGTGATGATTGATGGCTAAAAGTGTCCTTACCTTACAGCCATAGACAATGTTTGTGTCATAGACATTCAACTAATTGGTGTTAAATCATCTTTTCAAACATCCATTTAAATTCAATTTACAGCTGTATTCATATCAAACTGGTGCAAAGCAACCTCAGCGGCAAAAATAACGTAGAGTTGGAGTTAAACTTGTGCAGTCATTTTGTCTGTATTTACCAATGTAAAGAAAAACTTGTGAAGAGAAATAAGTAGTAAGTATATTAAATAGTTAATGCACAACTACTTGCATTTGTACTTTTCTGCACCCAGATCTAGTCATCTGCAAATCTTTGTACATCTGAATTTGTGCCTTGTGTCATACTGTAGATGTTACCTAACATAGAGAATATGCAGGCAAATTTTCCAGATGCATAGTGTTTTGTTTCACAAACACTTGTGCAGATCTTGGTTTGTCCATATAATTTTTTTTACCATTTCAGATATAAGTATACATTTCTACTTTTAATATAGTTGCAGTGTTGTCATTCGTTAGGCTAACTGATCACTCTAGTGGTGGTAAATTGGCAGATACACATGGTAAATTAAAAGAGGTGGTAGTTACTGAATGAATTAATACATTAAAAATAAAAAATATCATTATTATTATAGTAGTTATTTTTCTACAAAACAATATATCTATATTATGATAACACTATAGTGTAGCAATTTATCTTTATGTACAGAAAGTTTACATTTAAACATTTTGTTTAAAAATGAGCAAACTTTTTGTTTAAAATTTAAAAAGATGCTTGTTCTGAAATGAAAAACTAAAAATTAAGTGACATTTACTTTATAATTAATAAAGCATTGTTTAGTCATTGTTCACATACATGAACTGTTTTGACTGTGAACAACATAAATACAAAACTTGCCATTGAGTCTCGCATTGCATTGTGATATGAGCCAGTGTGTGTTCAGAGTATGATGTGAATGCAGCAATTTTTCCTAACAAACAATACTAACACTGAGACAATAATAAAGTCTTTTTTAAAAACTTCAAAAGTAAAAGATCAAAACTATGTATGGCTGTGGTACTCTTTTCCTTCGTTTACTTATTTCTCAACAGCTCCTTTGCCTCCTTCATCCCTCTTCCTTCTCTCTTCATTTTCTTTGGCTCACATTTTTTCTCCACTCCTCTTCCAAACTTTCCTTTCTGTCCTTGCCCTCTCCTTTTCCTTCTCTCTGACTTCGTTGTTTGCCCTTTTACTTTTTGTTATGTTTGTCTGTACGTTATCCTTTTCTCCTACTCTTGTCTTAATAGCCAATCATCCTCTTTACTGAGTACTCCTATGTGACTTAATGTCAGTTTTTATTCGGTGGCCCTAATAATTTAGACTGGTAATAACACAAAATATGAGTTATTCTATTAATTACCTAATTGGAAACAACCCTATAATTGCTTTAATGATAGATAACCTGTGATTATGCGAGTTTACAAGCCCTTAGAATATAAGAGAGAAAATTCCAATAATTCTCTTTTGAGCAAGCCCTTGGTAACAGAGGAGAATTAAAACCCCCTTTTAACAAAGAGAACCCTGACAGAATCAGCATTAGAGTGGCCATGGGAATTGGTTGGCAATTGAATTTAAGAGCAAATCCAAGATGGATAAAAAAAAAAAAAAAAACAGTCGCCTCTATCTCAGTTTCTTCCTTCGTTTTGCCCCAGATTTTAGATTCAAGCTTCTGTGTTAAAAACTTTACCATTTAGCCTGTCGTATCAGTTTAAGACAACATTTTGCCCCAGAGTCTGTTTACCATAAAAATTTACATCCCTAATGTTAACACAATTGCTCATGGATTTCACGGTTTGGGAGAAAGACTTTGTTAGATAACAGTTGTTTTTTGGTTGCTGCTGTTTTGGTTGTTGTTTTTTGGCTTTAGACTAAAAAACAAAATTAAGCAAAGAAAGTTAGCAAGCTATGCTGTGCTTTAAGTCAGAATTTTCAGTGTCATGGTAACTTTTGTTGTGTACAAAGCCTGGTTCAGAGCAGGTCATGCTCACAGTTTTGGTTTAAAATCAACTGGAAGTGCTACTTTTCATCTATTAACCTACCCTACCAACCTGAACATATATGAAAACGTAATGCAAACATCATTGCACAATATAAGAAAACAATTTACCTTCTCCACTGATGGCACCTTGCAGCTTCCTATGACTTTAAGATCCCACCATCTGTGTAAGGTGAAGTCCACTTGTGCACACTTACCTACACTCTTATATGCCACTCTATGATCCTCCCTCTTATTAAATAATAATAATAATACTAATAATAATAGTACATTTTATTTATAGGGGCCTTTAAAAATCCTCAAGGTCACCTTACATTAGTACAACAAAATAAAAACATACAGTAAACACAAAAATAAAAAAAACAATAATGTAAGTAAGTAAGTATAAATGCTAAACAAGGAAAAATAGACTAAAAGTGATGAGTATGCAATTCTGAACAGATGGGTTTTAGACACGATTTAAAAGTAGAGAGAGTTTGTTCATGTTCACAGTACATATTCACCACAGCTATTTCCATCTTTTTCACAAAATCCATCACCATGTGTTGTTCTGCATTTCTTTTCTTAACACCATACCTAGCCAATACGTTTATTTTTGGCAAATAGTAAAACAGTTTCCACAAGCACTTCATCAGCGTCCCCTTCTCCTATAGCCGTGAGGGTGAAACCTTTAGAGATAAAAGCAAAATCCTCCAAACCCACATAAAGGCTGACGCCAGCTAAGAAATGGGGTTTATTCCCACAAGAGTTTATCGGATGCTGAGTCCAGAGCAATAGCGAGCCATTAGGGAGGCCTGTGAGTCTAAGAAATAACAACTACAGAGCGTGGGTTTCCCTGAAATGCCTGCAGACATGATAGGTTATCTACAGATCAACGGGTGGAAATTCCTTATGGGACAAGATTGATGACCCACACGAGCCTCAAAAATGTGGGAGATGATTGTGTGTTTGGAAAAGAAAAAACAGAGAAAAGAATTGAGGCAGGTCAGCATAAGACTGGGCCATATTGAGGTCATCATATCTGCATGGAGAGGGACGTCGGCATGACCTGAAAGGTCAGAAAGTGACTCCCAGTAAATTAAAAAATAAAATGAAAAACCAGAAGCTGCTTAGCTGTAGACAACCCCAGGCTAGAGAGAACCAGGAGCTCATGAAGAATACCAGACCTACGGGGATGGGGGGAGTGTTTTTAACCCAATTCAGTTTATTATTATTGTGTACTCCGAGGTATTTATAGTCCTCCCCAATGTCTACATGGACCTCCTGGATCGAAACAGGGGTAACACATTTCCTGGTCCTCCTAAAGTCCACAATCAGTTCTTTGGTCTTTGCCACGTTGAGCTGCAGATGATTCTGCTCGCACTGCGTGACAAATGAGTCTGGTACTCTGTTTCATCACCGTCACTCATAAGATAAAAGAGATAAAATAAGATAAACCTTTATTAATCGCACACATGGGACCCAACCACTGCAGCATCATCCAAAAACTTCTGATGATAGCAGGTCTCTGTGCAGTGGCTGAAGGGCGTGGTGTAGAGGGTGAACAGGAAAGAGGCTTGTCCCTTGTGGTGCCCCTGTTTTGCTGATCCCCTTGTCAGACACACGATGTTGAAGACCCACATATTGTGATCTTCCCGTCAGGTAATCAACAATCCAGGACACAATCCAGTCTTTAAGTCTGACATCATTAGCCGTGTCTGGGCCCTAACTCCGCTGCATATCCATAAGTCAAACGAACACTGCGGCATCACTGAAAGTTGAAAAACTGTCTAAATTCTTTCATCTGTAATAGAATGATCAGTGTGGCTGCTCTACCAGGTGTAACAATTAAGTTTAACATCCAGGCATCCATGAAAACAGATTTTATGACATTTAACGGAGTTAGAAGTTAGCAGGGAGTTAGCTCGCTAGCTTCCATCTAAATACATATAGCATGTGCTGACTGAGGGATTTTGGAAACAAATGAAGGCGTACAGCTCTGCTATCACTTCCAACATAAATGAAGACAGAAACTAAACAGCAGTGACGTTTGTAGAGTTATTGAAGTTGGGCTAGCTGGTATATAATGATATGCTACGTGATCGCTAGCGACACAGCTATGTTAGCATAATAAACACAGTGAAGCTGGAGGATGAACACTTTTTTCCCCTCGATAAAAGTTAACGTGAGGATTCTCGGTGGTCAGGGACAAATGGAATCGCATGGCACGCTGCTGTAAACGGACCAAACTTCAGTCAGAACAACTGAGATAATTGATCCACAATACGAGGTTAGTCATTCAAATATGGATGAAAAACTAAAAATTAAGTGAGCTGGGCTGTAGTTACATGGTAAGGTTTTAAAAACTGAGCTTTAAAATGAATAGTGGTAAGAAAATCCGAGAGAGGCCGACAGTGATCACTGACTGTTTTAGGGGCTTTTTGAGATTAAATAGAACAAGATACAAAGCATTAAAACATATTAAAAACACGAAAGCCTTAATAAACGCAGGGTAGTTTGGGCCCGGAAGCAGGATTCGTCACGTCATCACTTAACGACCGGATAGAACAGGAGTCGGCAATCTGCGGCTCTTTAGTCCTTATAGTGCAGCTCCGCGTGGTTTGGGAAAATAAATTAGAAGTATTTAGCTGAAGTGTATTTTATTTATGTTAGTTCTTTTTTACCTTGTAGTTCTAAATTGGAAGATTATTGTGATATTGAAATATAAAAATAAAATTATATTCTTTTATTTTTTCATCGCTCAAAATAAGCGTCACACTCCCAGAAGCCGGTATGCCTGCCGAAACGCCGTGCATTTATCGAGACTTTCAACCCCAGGTAGGCCAATTATAGATCCACATTATGTCAGCAGCTATTCTCCACCGTGAACTATGTTAAAAACAAACACCGCTCACGCCTCACAGATGGCAGCTTACAGTCCTGCGTAAAGATGAAAGTGACTTCG